ATGCGGACAGAGGATATGATGCAAAAGAGAGTGGCCGTCTATATGCAAGGAGGAGTAACACAAACACAAAGATACAACCTTCTACACATGGAGAAAACAAATCACCGGGAACCGCCAATAGAAGTATTCAAGTGGATGAAATTCTAATCCAAGTAATTATTTATGGATACTATATGTTTACCTTTATCTTTCTATTGCATTCTGTCAATAAATCTTCTTCACATCTTTTATTGGCTTGCACCATGTTCCTCATGTTCATGCGTATACAAAAGATTATGATTAGTATTTGTAAACATCAATCATATCAATTTTGGACATCTTCGTGTTTGTATTTTGAACATAAAATTTAAAACACATGAAAACATATAATAAAATATCATATCAACATGGAAAAAAAATAAATTTGAAACATAATTCAAAATATATAATAGAAACTAAAAAACGTTGAAAAAATAGGATTTTTTATTCAAAAAATAAAGAACAAACTAACAAAACTTGAAGATCCACAAGAAAATCCCACGATTCACAGTGTTTGTGAATCAATTTTCGTAAGTTTTTTTTAATTGAAAAAATAAAGACCAAACACACAATAATTGAAGATCCACACGAAAAACATAGGATTCACAGTGTTTGTGAATCGATTTTCGTAAGAAAATGAAAAAAAATAACAAACGATAGATAACACCCGGATTTCCAGAAAATAGAAACCAAATTTGACCCAGAAAATACATAAAAAGCACGCCCGTGCTTCACAACATATGGAGTAGTGACTCTACTCTATAAGATCCAAATAAAAAATAATCGATTTAGTGTTTAAAAGGCAAAGATTTCTGATGCAAAATGAAGAAAATGAAAGAGACGCGGAGAAAGAAACGGTGAAATGAGCAAACCCTACTTTTTCGGGATTTTTCGCCTTTTATACTCGATGGAAGCGATTCAACACCGTCCGATCGTTTTGATCAATGTGCGCCGTTGGATCAAATATAGTTGTGTTATATTTTGGGTCGATTTGTATTGGCAGAATTGTTTTGGGCCCGTATTCGTTTGGGCCGATATATTATTATTATATAATACGGTTAAGAAAAATTATTTAAAGAACTCGAAAAAAAATATTTCATTTTCCCGCTTCATATTCCCACTTTTGAACTTGAAAAAAATTATTTCATTTTCCTATTTTGTATTATTCCTACCTGTTTTGTTTTTTAAAAACAAAAAAATGTATATGCTTTGGGATTTTAATGATTTTAGAATTAATATTTGATATCCGAGAATATCTCAACTTGTGAAACCAAATTGATTTGTAATTTGAATTTATAACTAATTTACTTTATCTGACCAAATTAATTTGCTCACGGGTCTAATTATAAAATGCTTGATAAAATGCTTGATCAAGTTAAATTATAAATATTTTTAAAATTTAATAGATTTTTTATTTAATTTTTTATTATTGATCTTATATAACATATCCAATTAATTATCTCTATACATTATTCGATTTAACATTCATATTATATATATAAATTAAATATCTATATATACCTTTATAAATATAAATTAAATACAACTTTTAAAAGTACTTAGATTTGTAAAATATTTTTTGATATTAATTATTAATTTTATAAATCTATTACTATATAATCTATCTATTACTATAAAATACGGCTAAGAAAGAATGTTTGAAAATTCGAAATAATTGTTTCATTTTTCCTTTCAAATTCCCCTTTTTTTCGTTCTCTTAGTTTATTCAATAAAGTGTTTTAAATCATTTTCATAATCCCGCATACTGATTTCAGTTGTAATAGATTTGTACGTATTTTTTAATCTTTTTTAAGCGATTTTGAAGGAATCAGACAATTTCTTTTTTTTTTTTTGGGGAAGGGAGTTGGTATAAATTGGATAACATCAATTTAAATCAATTAATTACGAAATTGTATGTCATTTTCCTGCTTGCCATTTAAACATATAAAATATTAAGACATTAATTCATGCCCAATTTTTTTTAATAAAATACAACAAAATTTTAATAAAAAGTTGATAAATATTCTATATTTTTGGTTAGTTAAAAACGCCAACTTAAAATTTCATTTATTACCATTAATGGTAATCTTTTGTAAATTTCAAATTTTTAGGCGGCTAAAATTACAATTCAAAATTCTTTCGGTTGAATTTTTTTGAAAATTCGATTTTTATCCTCGGCAATTTAATATTAACAAATGCATATCTTATGTAAATAAAATTTAATAAAAAATAAAATAAAAAAGACTGTATGGTAACATTTTTCGAAATAAGTAAATCCTGGGCGGGTGATTTTGTTGGCAAAAAATTCAAAAATTGTTGTTTGGGTTCAAATTGTGAATATTGTATGATTAGTTATAGATAAACGAATCCAACATATTCTAACTTCCAAAAAAGATGGAAACACATTTCCTTATTATATGTAAAGTTATATTTAAAATAAAGTTTAAAAAAAATTTAAAATATAAGCTCATCCGTGCATCGCACGGGATATGCACTAGTAAATAAATAAATGAACTCCATGATATTAATAATACAGGACAATCTATATTGTTAGCAGGTGAATAAATAAATGTTAGTAGTACTACTAGTAATACATATTAAGGTCCCCCTTGTCTCATATTTATTACCCAGTTGGTTTACTACTCTTTCGGACTTTAATAATTTTCAATAAACAAAAAAATGTCACAAGAAGAAGAAGAAGAAGAAAACGAGCCCGCGACCCCTATAGCCCGTTTGATGCAAGCACCGGCCTTCAACTTCTGTATTATAGCAGTCATGGGTTTTAGGTCGACCATCGATCTCGACTTGTTCAAGCAAGAGCTCGGGCGGTCCCTCCTTAGACACGCTCGCTTCACAAGCGTGCTCGTAAGTAGATAATTGCCATAAAATCTTCAAACATCATGCGAAATATCTTAATCATTTTTTGTTACTCTATCTTCTTTGTTTGTGTTATTCACAACAAGATTGTCGACAAAAGCTCGCGCGACAAATTTTCATGGCGACGGACGAAAGTTGACATCGAAAACCATGTGTTTGCTCTGGATTTGGACCCTAACATGGAGTCGCCCGATGAATTTGTCGAGCACTTCACGTCCGAGATTATGAAGATTCCGATGGTCGACATGAGTGCTCGTCCGGCATGGGAATTTCACGTTCTCAACGTGAAAACCTCGGAAGCAAATTCGATCGTCGTGCTCAAGATGCACCACTCGATTGGCGACGCTGTGTCTCTAATGTCTCTTCTCATGACATGCGCCGAGAAAATTACCACCAATTGTGGGGGGTCTTTGCCTATACTTCCGAGCGAAAAACGACAATCGACGAGTAGTTATTATAACACCGGCCGGATGGTTATGAAAACGATGTTCGTCAAGGTTTGGATAGCAATCGTGATGGTTTTCAACACGTTCACCGGTCTCATGCGGGCTTTCGCAACACTGGCTTTTTTGAAAGATGAGAAGATTCCGATTAATCGCGAGCGAGGGAAGGAGAATTCTTCCAAGCGATTCGTGCACCGGATCGTTGATTTCGATGATATCAAGCTCGTCAAGACGGCTATGAATGCAGTTCGTTTTAGTTAGCTAGTTACATTTCATGCATGTGGCCATTCAATTATTTATTTTCTAGGAGTTGAAAAATGGAGCCTTGATAATTATTATTATTATTTTTTTTTTTATTGTTCACATTCTTTAGACTGTCAATGATGTGGGCACGGGTGTAGTTCAAGCTGGTTTAACCCGTTATCTTAATATCAGATACGGTATAACTCTTCTTCTTCTTCTTCTATATAATGGAATCATCAAATTTCAACGAAAATTTTAGTGTCAACTTATATTGGAAAATCCCATCGGAAATTTTATATAATATTGAAAAATCGTAAGATTTCATGTTGGAATACTTTTAATCGATTTTTTCTCTCGAAGTTGATTTATTTATTGATTCATTTTTTATGTATATATAGTGTTCCTCGCTTTTCTTTTTTCGTTTGTTCCATTTTTTTGGGAAGTTTCATATTCTAATTTGTGTCACAATTGTCTCCACAGGTCAATGCTGCCGAGGACAAAATCCTACATATGCCCAAATGAACAACTTTTTGCCCAAAAGTCTTCGTCTTACATCAGTCGTTTGTTTCAACCTGAGGCCTTATGCAATAATTGAGGTAGCTTATAATTAAACACTTAGTATTTCAAGTTCAATTAGCAAAATATTATTATATTTTAATTATATACCTTAATAATTGTATTAAGCTGCAAAATTTATGTAGGATTTGAGTGATATTATGGAGGATGAAAAGCAATTAAGGGGAAAATGGGGCAATAAAATAGGTGGTGCCCTTGTTCCACTTGACATAGTTGTTGAAGATGACCCTTTAGCCTATGTTATTAGAGCTAAGGCAGTCATGGACCAAAAGAAACTATCTTTTGAGCCCCAATGTATGCCCATCATGTCCAAGCTATTTATCAAATTATTTGGAATTAAGGTATGACTACTTGACACTTAGCGGATATCGGATTGAATTAGTTGATAGCGAGAGTTGTCAATTTTGATTCTCGATTGATTGAGTGATTGGATTATTTGTGACCTGATTGGAGTAACTGATTACGCATAGTGATTGGTAAATAATTAGTTGTTTAATATGTAAAAACAATTAATTTTACAATCTATGTTTCATGCACAAAACATCTTTAATGATTAGAAGTTCTGACGAGTTGGAAAACTAACTCACGTCAAACCTCTAATTTATCCCGAAAATACTGTTTTATACAGGCAGCATCTTCTATTCTCAATAGAATCTCCTTGAACACAACTTTGTTTTTGTCAAATGTGATGGGTCCAAGAGAAGAGATCACTCCATTTGGCCACCCCTTGTGTTATATTGCTCCCATTGTTTCTGGGTTTTCTCAAGTAAGTCAAATTCAATTTTACATATTTATCATTATTATTTTAACTTTTTTTATCTTAAAAAACACAATATTTAATAATGATACCATTATTATTTTTTTTTTTTCTTAATATGTTTTGAATTGTTTGGTTATATTGCAGGTATTGTTCATCACCTTCCAGAGCTATGCTAATAAGTTTATAATCTCCATAGCTGCTGATGAAAATTTGGTTCCAAATCCCCATCAGCTATGTGATGACATGTTACAGTCTCTTCAAGACATGAAAAATTATGTGCAAAATAGAGCTCTTTAGTAATTGCATATATGTGACATGTGATGAGATGAATGTGTAATTTAATGTTAAAACATTATTAATTGCTATTTTCATATGGTATTTGGACATATAAGTTTGACATAATTGATGTGTAAGACAGAGTTGTAAGATAGCATAGTCGAATTCAAGCTAATGGTGCTCGAGTTCGACTTGTTATCTAAACGAGCTAGTAATCAAGCTCAAGCTCGAGCTAAGCTATTTCTATTGACGAGTTAAACTCGAGCCTTAACAAATCGAGTTCATTGAATGGATCTGAATAGGATTGAATTCACGACATGTATTCTTCATTATTTGTGTCCAACTAGGATTAACCCTCAAACTCATCAATTGGAGAAACAATCAATAGTCAGCCCATTAGCTTATACCCAATTTATAGCCCAATCCTAATTTCATCCAAATGGCTAGGCACATTTACGGCTACAAAAATTATTTTTTCCTACCCATGTTGCTTTTAAAATCAAAACTTAATTGCATATTCTTTAATCAATTTACTTGCTGTTTTTCCAATGACGGTGAATTTGTAAAAGATATTGATTCATTAAGTACTCGACTGGATAATTGCTCGTCAGGGCTCGATTATTAGAAGTTCGACTCGACTTGTTTACTGTTTGAGACATTGCCACAGCTCCATTATAAGAAGTTGAACTCGACTCGTTTTTAACTAATGTTTGAATTTTGGTAAGAAAATGGT